ACTATAATGAAATTCAAATGAATCCTCACTCATGGGATTATGGGGAAATGGACATTACAATGTATCCACCTCCCTGAGGAAGCAACCTACCGCCACTCACCACTGTTGAGACCTTCCATTTATGACCACAAATGTGCAAACACCACCAAAATTGGTCAAACAATTTACAGAGCAGCATTTAACACAGTCTGATACCTTGACTGCGACTTTGGAACACGAATAGTTCTTCCCAAACAGATGTGCTCTGCAATACAAATTGTACAAAATTCACTCCTCAGGGTATTTCAGAACTCACTGGCTAATATTACCTGGTTGCCGTCGAGCCAGTCAAGGACCTCCTTGCATTTATCCAGGATAGTCTGCTTGTCCTCCGGGCTGATCTTGTCTTTCAGCTTGTCATCCTCAACGGTGGACTTCATGTTGTAGGCGTAGCCTTCCAGGCCGTTTTTGGCACTGATGCGGTCACGTTGGGCATCATCCTCCGCCTTGTACCTCTCGGCGTCTGCCACCATTCTCTCAATCTCCTCCTTGGAAAGCCGGCCTAAGCAGCACATGAAAAAAACAAAAAAGTCTCTAATTGTATCTTTACACTTGAACCCAGAAAAAATGCTTCACATGGGGTTCACGGGGGTGTGTGTGGAATATAAAAAAAACAGCTGAAAAAGCTGAAATTGTGAGAGTGAATCAAAAAGCATATATGGCGTGGGGTCTAGGTATTGAAATTTAGATGCTCTATGGTACATTTTAAAGCTTCCTGATGAAACCATTGATCATTTTTTCATTGCAATTTACGCTATGCATATTTTTAATTTTACTTTTTTTTTGTATCTGCCAAAAATTTCTGACAAGATTAAATAAATGGAACAAGTTACATATACTGACAACACTGATTTTCCCTTCAAGTATTTTAACAGCCATCAAAAAGTGTAACATGTCCTAAAAGTGAAAAATGGCAGAGAAAATTCCAAATCATCAAGTTAAACAATTTTTTTTTTTTGAAAAGTCTCATAGGTTTGTCCACAGAGGCATGAAGTGTTGTCCGTATATAAAACTCTTTCCAGATGAACTAGTAATAGGTACACCAAACTGTAAATATCGAGGTTTGTTGAGCACGTTGGCCCTTTTCCCACCTGATCTGAACATGTTTTCAAAATTTCAGTGCTTGAAAGAATGCGCATCGCACGCATATGTCACATGTCCAGGATTTGGGATTTTCTCAGTGCAGACTATTTCTATGGATTTATGACCTGAGGATCAGTCTTTTCAAAGGCTGTATCCAAGTCAGAACCTCTTTGGACAATTGTACATTTGTATTGCACTGATATTGCGATGAGTTTATGTCCAAAACTTGTTTGTTTGAACGCCCATACAAAATGATGCCAAAAAGTGCGAGAATGCACGACACAAGAAGAACTTAGTGCCCCCCCCACACCAGTTGTCACAAAGCCCTCCATCAGCGAAAGCGAAAATTTACTAACCTTACTTCAAGCTTCAAATATACAATGAAATGTATGCTACCACGGTAGTTACAGTGGAGCTTGTTAGTTAGGTGCCATCGCGAAATTGACTAAGTGTTCATCCTTTTGTTAGCATTCTCGCCAATCAGTTCGTCATTGTCAAGGAGGGCGAGAATCCGCAGATTGGACAGCAGTGTGCGCTCTTGCATGGCTAAGTTAATGAGCAGGGCTGGCCGTGCACCTTTGTCGTTGCAACAATGGATGCAATGAAACATGACTAACCTCATGAATACAGACAGCAGGACGCAGAATGTCCTAAATACAGTATGGCAAAAGTTTTGATACATTATTCGTGCATTTTACAGACAGGAATAGGCATTCTTCGATCAAGATGTATCAGTTTTTGTTCATTTTGCAAAGTGTGCATGAAAACAATAAACAAGCCATTTACAAATTGTCTCGACCAAAGCTCTAATATAATGACGCAGAGGGCAAGAACGCATTCATGAGAATCAAGAGCTGGGACCCCAGCCCATTGATATGTCAACAATTTGGGGGGGGGGGGTTGGGGATGGGTTTGTACAACCGTTTACATGGATATGGACTTCATTTTGCCACACTGCCCTTAAATACCAAGATTAGTTGACTTTTCTTATTTTACTTTTTTAGATTGATTTTGAAGTCCCGTGATTGTTGCATCTTTAATGTTCTGCATTTTGTCTAATGTCTATTCCAATCTTTGACAAATCTATAATGTGGAAATCACTGCCTGGAAGTGCTAGATTTTCGGAAAGAAAACCCAAGATATTAATTCAATGCGCGTAGGCCTGTAGACTATGATGGAGTTAGTCTTTTGTTAAGAGATTAATTACTTCGCTTTCTGAATAAGTTGTGCTAAGGCTGTGGATGAACTGGCCCAATTTACACAGCAAAGCCGACGCACAATATCCATTCATGGTAAGCTAGGAGTCAGGGCTTTTGTTCCAAGGTGGGAAAATGGTGGTATGCATCAAAGAGGTTGCTGCATAGCCAACTCCCTTTTAGGAAACGCTGTCTTGCAATCATTGCCCACTTGCAGTTGAATCGGACAATGGTTTGAATGGGGNTCTATAATGAAATTCAAATGAATCCTCACTCATGGGATTATGGGGAAATGGACATTACAATGTATCCACCTCCTTGAGGAAGCAACCTACCGCCACTCACCACTGTTGAGACCTTCCATTTATGACCACAAATGTGCAAACACCACCAAAATTGGTCAAACAATTTACAGAGCAGCTTTTAACACAGTCCGATACCTTGACTGCGACTTTGGAACACGAATAGTTCTTCCCAAACAGATGTGCTCTGCAATACAAAATGTACAAAATTCATTCACTGGCTAATATTACCTGGTTACCGTCGAGCCAGTCAAGGACCTCCTTGCATTTATCCAGGATAGTCTGCTTGTCCTCCGGGCTGATCTTGTCTTTCAGCTTGTCATCCTCAACGGTGGACTTCATGTTGTAGGCGTAGCCTTCCAGGCCGTTTTTGGCACTGATGCGGTCACGTTGGGCATCATCCTCCGCCTTGTACCTCTCGGCGTCTGCCACCATTCTCTCAATCTCCTCCTTGGAAAGCCGGCCTAAGCAGCACATGAAAAAAACAAAAAAGTCTTTAATTGTATCTTTACACTTGAACCCGGAAAAAATGCTTCACATAGGGTTCACAGGGGTGTGAGTGGAATATAAAAAAAAAGCTGAAAAAGCTGAAATTGTGAGAGTGAATCAAACAGCATATATGGCGTGAGGTCTAGGTACTGAAATTTAGATGCTCTATGGTACATTTTAAAGCTTCCTGATGAAACCATTGATCATTTTTTCATCGCAATTTAGGCTAAGCATATTTTTAATTTTACTTTTTTTTGTATCTGCCAAAAATTTCTGACGAGATTAAATAAATGGAACAAGTTAAAGTTAATTCTTAGTTAAAGAATGCACATCGCGCGCATGTGTCACATGTCCAGGATTTGGGATTTTCTCAGTGCAGACCATTTCTATGGATTTATGACTTGAGGATAAGTCTTTTCAAAGGCTGTATCCAAGTCAGAACCTCTTTGGACAATTGTACATTTGTATTGCACTGATATTGTGATGAGTTTATGTCCAAAACTTGTTTGAACGCCCATACAAAATGATGCCAAAAGTGCAAGAATGCACGACACAAGAAGAACTTAGTGCCCCCCTCGCACCAGTTGTCACAAAGCCCTCCATCAGCGAAAGCTAACCTTACTTCAAGCTTCAAATATACAATGAAATGTATGCTACCACGGTAGTTACAGTGGAGCTTGTTAGTTAGGTGCCATTGCGAAATTGACTAAGCGTTCTTCCTTGTTTTGTTGGCGTTCTCGCCACTCAGTTCGTCATTGTCAAGGAGGGTGAGAATCCGCGGGATTAAGGGCAATCATTTCCACTTGGTGAACCTTTTCTATTTTGACTTGGGGCCTTACGTAGTCTTGTGGCACTTTCAACATGGCACTTTCTACATGGCACTGTTAAACCAAACCAAACTTGATAAAAAAAAGCCAACACCACAAAAATAGATACCGAGTTTGACGAATTTGACACCGCAAACCTAGGCACACGTGCATGTTCGGACCCACGATGGCATGCATCACTATTGTTGTAAATCGTACGTGGCGAGAATTCACTAATAATTAACAGAGAAGATGCAACGTACGGGCATTTCCGCGGCTCAACAATGCTATATTCTCACTACATCCGATTATGCTTTTGCATATTCAGACATCATGTACGTCAATCTCCAAAAGCTCCTCCTTCACGTTCCATATAAGACCTATGATATCATAAATAGCCGTAAAAGACGATGTTTGATTGGATGCACGTTGATTGTAGTAGGACTCACGCTCAATCTTATGGCAACCCCAGAGCGAAGCTGATTTTACTGGGCGGACCAGCATGCACGCAACCAGATTTGTGGGCGAGGTGCCCTATAAACCTGTCTTTCGTTTGGTCAAGCTGTTGTACGTATACACTGTGATAGCATTTTCAAGATTCCTAGCAGTTGTTCCCAAATCTCATATAATGAAATGCTATTATCTGTAAATCGCCCCTTTGGCCGCATGCATGTACATGCACATGTGCATACGTACATGTGTATACATGTCTGACCGCGAACCAAACCAAACCTTGGTGCTCGAAGCATTGGTAAATTTCAACCTCCTCTTTGTTGAGAGGTAGAATCCTTTTGTCTGTTTTATTCTAAATCATACAATTTCCTATCAAATTCAAATGATGTGGTTTGAATATTTTTTAAAGTATAACTTTAATGGGATATTGATGGTGAATTATGAATGCTTGCCTCACAATAAACTCCTTCCCGGCCCAAGCTCTAAAGAGTATTTTGTAAAAAAGCGTTGCGTCATGACTGTGTGATTTGCTGATCATAATTGTTACGAACCACTAGTGTGTAATGTCCATACCTGAATCATATCCAAACACTTTCTTTGAAAATTACGGTTTAATGCTGAATAAGTGTAGAAAGTTACAGATTTTCAGTAAACTGTAACATTAAAAGGTGGTGTGAGCCGATGTTAGTATCTTTACTCTCATCCTACTAAAAAGGAAATTTCACAATAATATGACGGAATCTTGGCATTTATAAATAATTACAGGTGGTTTTCAGTTTTAGGGCTCATGAGGGGATGACTGTGCCACAACGCACTAAGTTATTAAAACAAACCAAGCTACAAAAGCCAAACATAAAGCGTTTTTTCTCGTGGACAATGGCCTACCCAGCAGCCAAATAAGCCCGATTATCATCGGAAAAACACATACGGCCAGTACAGTCATGCTGCCACTCCATCAAAGTTCTTACATAAGCCTGAATTACTATGTAGCTGTACATCATTGATGTGATCGGAGAAGAGACAAATCGAAGACAGGTGTACACTGTGCGGAGTAAAATCAATTGTTATCTAGAATGAAGTATGTCTGCCACCTCTGGATAAATATTTAATTATCTACGATGTGAATATAATGTTCATGTCACAATATTAATCAACCGAAAAAAGTCGCCGTGGCTGGCGCGTCAACGCAGTCGAACATGCTTGCAAGTATGGTTACCATGTTCCTTGGGTTCTTATACTTAATTCAGTGTAGTTTTTCGGACAGGGACAGGCTGAAAAAGCAGAGATTGCATGCCACGTCAAGGGAAAGTCCCAACTCAATGGCTGTTTAATGTATGATGGAATTATTTTTATGGCAAAAGGACGAAACTACAAAAGCGTTCAAATCAAAACGAAAACTTAAACCAAAAACGTACTAATCCAGATGTTCACACAATAAATCATGTTTTGAAATGTCAGTAACAATTGTAAAGCAAACTTCACGAAACAGGGAGTGAATTCTGCGCCCGTGTCGTGCCAGCTGTTCGGAAAAATTGGTGGTCTCATTGTTGGTGGGATACACTCGCTGACTGTTTTCGGACAAATTTACTATCTGAGGCAATCCAGTGGCAGCGTGAACAAGAAATTTTGCATGCTTGTACAAATTTGTTGATGACCATGGATCAATAAATTTTGTTTCCCCGCAGTGACGAAGAAATATATTACTAATATTAGTTATCAATGTTTGGTACAAAAATATGGATTCTAACAGACAGAATGGCTATAAAGCTAGGACTGAAACAGGATTCGGGGACTGAGGCTACTGTCAACATTTTTCCCACAACATTTGGGACCAGCAAAGACAAAGACTAAGCCACGGACACAAGACTGATGCAACCTCAGTCAAAGTCCCCTACACCCCTTACCTTTATCGTTAGTGATGGTGATCTTGTTGGTCTTCCCCGTGCTCTTGTCGACGGCGGACACATTCAGGATGCCGTTGGCATCAATGTCAAAGGTCACGTTAATCTGTGGGACACCTCGGGGGGCAGGCGGGATGCCAGACAACTCAAACTTGCCCAGAAGATTCTTGAGGGAAAAATTACAGAAAAATTTTTTTCTATGGGAAAAAA